ACAACAACAACAACAACAACAACAGAACCCGACAACACACAACAACACACCACCTCGACAACCTACAACAACATCAAACGACTACAACAACACTACCTCCTCCCACAATGAATCGTTAATTGACGACTTAATGACCAACATCAATGTCATACAATCACAATAAATGCTGGGCCAATAAAATGAATGCTGGGCACTGTGGACAGCAAACAAGCAGACATCATATCGAATCATGGCTCACAACTTCAAAAAGATCTCACTGTCCTTATGTATTTGTAAATTTGTTTATTATTCATTCTTGTTTCATAATCAAATATTTTTTCATCCTTGCACTTCACACAAGATCAAACTGAGCGTGAGGAGAGCCCAACTTTTTAAATTGATGCATATCTGGGGTTGACTTGCATTCATTTCATACCGCAATAGATAATGCTAACAACATAATGCACATCGACCACATATCAATAGAATAAAGTTACTGGAACATTTTAACAAAAAGTTTGCATATGGCTACAGAGAACAAACAAAAATTATTCCAACAGCTAGTTCGAACCTCTCTCATATTCTATTAACCTTTTAATATAAAAATATTTAAACGAACATTAAAAAGATTTCACTCTTACATCACAACTGACCAATATATTAAATTTATACAAATAAATAAACTATAATGTTAATCCAAAAACTTTGCAACAAGTACCACAAAAGATTTGAGAGTAAGAAAAACTGCACTTACTGCATTGAAAGACCGCTGTCGGGTCGTCAGCGGAACTTTTTGAGAAACCCCGCGGCACCGGTTCCAAATTGTGAAATTGCATGCAGCACTGCTAATAGTACAGCAACGATGGGAGGAAACTTTTCAAAAAAGTCAAAAAAATTTTGAAACTTAAAAAAATTTCATTAAAAGACATGAATCTGAAAAAGACACTTGTTTGATATTTCAAAGCAATGTTTACTTATAACAATTTTAATATAATATCTTCTTCCTACAGAGACTCAATCAGGTTGAGAATTGAAAATAATTTCTTCATGTGTGCATTCGATGGTTGTTCAGAGTTGAAAAACTGTGGCAATTTGTTGGATGAATATTTTTCATCATCACTTCTTTTGAATTTATTTTTTGCAAAATAACAACAACAAC